AGAAACGAAAGAAAAAAAGAAAAAAAAAAAAAATAGTTAAGCGCGATTGATGTTGACACCAAGCTTCGAGCGATAGAGAGTTGTCGTGTCTTTATCGCGACGATGTTTTTAACGCGAGATATATACGTCACGCTCCTCCTTTCATTCGTTCAAAGCACGTCGTCGCGTCACCGATGACACAATTACAATTTCAGTAATTATAATACCGGATGATTGCGCGTTTTCTCGGAAAGGATCAAAGCGATATAGTAAAATAAGCAACGTTAATTTACTTATATTCTTACTTTTTTTCTTTCTTCAACATGTTACAGAATCGCGAAGTCGCGATTTGCGTCAGATTTTTTTTTTCAAAAAAACCACTCGATTGTAATATTTTATTGCGAGCTTCTAAGATTTCCCTTCCCCCCCCCCTCACCCCCGTTCTTTTTCCTCACCTTGCTCACATATACGCATTACCTTTCAATCTGACGCACACACACACACACACACACACACACGCTTTCTCTCTTTCATAAACTTTCTCCTCCCTTCTCTCGCGAATCCTCCTTCTCTCTCGCTGACCGAATCATACTTCTTTTTTTACGATTTATCTTGATTTTGTCTCGTTTTATTTAAAAAAATACTGAATTAGTAACCAAGCTAAAATCACAGACTTGCTGGTGCCTTATTCCAGCGGGTTTGTACAAATTCCTCCTGAAGAGATATATATATATATATACATATATATATATGTATATATATGTATATATATAATTACACGATATATATATGTATATAATTATGTATATATAATATATGCGCATATATATTTAGTAATTACAATTTATATTCGCGCGAAATAAATGCTCGCATTCTCTCCTTTCGCTCCTTTTCCCTCCCACCCTCTCTCTCTCTCTCTCTCTCTCATCGTTTTTCGCTACTCCGCATCCTCATTCTCTCTTATCGCTCTTTCTCAGCATTCGTGTTGATATTTATAGCTATATATGCGTGTTTGTGTGAAGATAGATAAGCAACAGTAAATATAGGAAAATTTTCGCAAACGAGCGCGCCCTTTTCGATCTCCGATTGCGATTGCGTTTCGCGAAACGGAAATCGAAAACAAAGGGAAAGGAACGTGTCTTGTCGGCAAAATAATCATCGAAGGACGACGCGGCGAGATCTCTCGCACTTTCTCTCTCCGGCCTCATCCCGCACTACTTTCGACAGATTATATATGGGAGATCGTTGGTGCTTCTAAATAAAATACGGACGATCGGATCGTACGCTTATTGCCCGATACGTAAAAATGAAGGAAACGATATCTAATCTCTCTTTCCAATCCACCCCTCTTGCCAATACTATAATAAAACCCTCCTCCAATTCTGACGTCATATGTAGCGGTTCGAAATAACGAAAGCTTTTTTTGGATCGATCAACCTGGCATGATGATATTAATGAAAAAAAAAAAAAAAATACACGCGATAATAGTATGCACGTACGTATATAATTAATTACTTCGGTCTATCACATATGACGTCAATGTCGAAGCGCTGAGGGGTTTATTATAGATGAGGCGAGATTGACTTTTTTTCGGTTGTCCTTTCGCTGTTGGCAAACGCGCTGAGCGATTTCAAACGAGTCGTCGTTCGATATTCGAAGCGATATTCAAATTGCACTATTTGCTTCCGATGTTGGCGAACTTTTATCCGCGATGAAACTTACTTTCGGATACATGTAAATCCGAAGAGAGAGAGAGAGAGAAAAAAATACGTCGACTATTGTGTCAAAGTGCCATGTGAATTTTGTGACGACCCGATTAAAAGCGCAAAACGCGTCCAGCGAACAGAAATTCTGTCGCACGTAATACATATATGTATCATTATACATACCGGTATGTATAATAAGCGCGCGCACACTGCTCGTGTTTAGGTCGTTACATACGGAGATTGCTTATATTGTCTCTCTTTCTCTATTCTTAGTATAATCACAGACATGGTTTCTATAATTGCTACGTACAGAGCCTTCCCTCATTCGACGCCGAATACGATAAGTTCTCTGTCCCTCCCCATCTCTTTCTGTCCCTCCATCACCCTCTTTCCATTATCCGTTCGATCTTTCGCACAGACATACGTGCATACACTCTTCTTTTTTTTTTTTTTTTTTCACACACAGAGACTCTCACCTCCGTTCTCACGCGCTCGGGAAAACTGAGAAAATTTACGTGGAACGAAATTTTGTATTATTTTCAATTTTATGTATTTTATTATGTGTAAAATGTACAGAAATTCGCGTTGCATTTGCGACGTCGACAACAACGGATCTCATTCTCATCATTATGCGAATATAGTTTCGTCGAGTAATGGTAATTGAAGAAATCTCGATGTCGCGAGCACGAAGCAGACACGTGACTAATCGAGCGAGCTCGATTATTATTATTATTATTGTCGAAGCGAACAAACGTATTGGATGAGCGCCCACACACAGATTCAATTATTCTCTCTTTCGCTTTCTCTCTCTCTCTCTCTCTTTTTCCGGAATCATTCCCAACCATTTCTGAAACATTCACAATCGTACGTCATACATCAAGCATTTTACTTACCGAGACCGACTCTCCATAGTAAAATATACGCCCGTGTGCCTTCCCGTGGATAAAATCACAGTAATTTTATACGTCGTGTTTTGCTTTCTTCCACATGTCTCTCTCTCTTTTCACGCGAAAGATAATATACAATTCGTCAATTGTGTACACGCCCGAGGACGATTCGCTCGTCCCTTTCGTCCTCGCACGTGTACATGGTGTTCTATATAACGCTTATATATATATATATATATATATATATATATATATATATATATATATATATATATATATATATATACATATACGTATGTACATATAAATTCGCGCGCTATCGTATAATTTGTACGTGTATGTGTATGTGTGTATGTACATTTAAAAGTTTGAGATTTCTACCATCGAAACTCTTGTTGTTGCCCAATAGTCGAAATACGCAAGACTTTCTCTATCGAGAGAGCCAATCTCTCATAAAAATATAATTTACAAATGTAAACCGAATTTGAATCCTTCGTTATCGCTTCACCACATTTTCCGAATTTTATATACTTGATTTTTCCAGAAAATTAAAATTATTCGATAAATTTCGATAAATGACTCACGCGAGGGAATGTCGCGCGTCATAAATTCAATGTTTGTTTGATCAAAAATCGTCGGTAGGTGTCTTTATTTTTGCGTGAATGTGTCCATGTGTATGTGTGGCTCGGTGGTAATCTGCATTGACAGTACGAGATTCGAGGAAATCCTCGAAAACGGAGAACTCTCAATCCCCGTTCCTTTTACAATTTTAAGATCGTACAAACCGACGCGAGATGGAAATGGGGAACGGCTCTGTTACAAGAATTAAATTAAATTAAATTGTAAATAGCCTTCGACGCAAACAACAAAACACTCGTCCTCTCCCGTGCACTCGGAAATGATTCGAATATGAATTATTAGCGTAATCATTCGGATTGTCGCAAAAAAATAGATATCTCGTTGCTTCTCGTCCAAAGTTATTTACGATTCAACCAAAATATACAAAGCGATCGATCGCTTCCCTCTCGCGTGCGTCCGCGTCGTAAAATATCCGTCGCTCGGTGTGTACGAACCTTAATCCGAAATACGACGTGACAAAGTACATGGAAGAAAGACGCATTCGGGAAGGATGCGAGAGATAGAGAGATGTTATATGGATACGTATGTTCGGTGTGTGCGTGCGTGTATGTATGTGTGTATGTATAAATGTGTGTGAGTACGGTTTCTTTACTCCCTCGAGAACGGAGGGGCGCGGTGAGGCTGGCTGGTCTTCGTTGTTCCTCCCTCGCGCGGTTGCTGTTGTCACGAGAGACACTCGGAGGGTTACGCGGGTGGAGGAGATGCTGAGATCAATTAAACTGCTGCTGAGAGAGCTTCGAGCTCGCTCCGTTCTTCCTCGCTGCGACGGCCGCGCGTTCTTTTCCGATGGAAGAAGAAGAAGATCGCTCCTCTGGTTGACTGATGGAGCGACCGATGATGATCCAAAAAAAAAAAAAAAAAAAAAAAAGAGAAAAAAATGCGTAAATAAGTATCGGTGGCTCTTAAAAAAAAAACAGGCGTCGGATCGAGGAGAATCGATCTGGTCCTCTCTCTTCGATTCTCGCTTAATTCGGCTTCCTTTCCTCGCGACGATAGATCATTTCCTCCCGTTACGTCGTTTTGTATCGCGCTCGGATTAGTCGTCGAGAATACATTCCTCTTGTTCGAAAAGACATCTTCTTCTTCGCGCGCAGAGGAGGATCGGGTTATGCGCGAGATTGGACTAGAGTCGTTCGAGTCGACCGACGCGCGTGGACGAGCTCGCGTTCCCGAAGGATGGACTCTCCCCGTTAGCAGGAACTCGCACGAAGAAGGGACTCGCACGGACATAGCTGGAGGATGATGGTTGAAACGGGAAACGGGAGAGATAAAGCTCAGGAAAGAGACGACGGCGATGGACCCCCCGACTCTTCGCTTCGAGGCTCTCTCAGTGCACACAGATAAAGGGAAA